TCTCTGTGAGTTCGAGGCCAGCCTGGGCTACCAAGTGAGTTCCAGGAAAGGCGCAAAGCTACACAGAGAAACCCTGTCTCGAAAAACCAAAAAAAAAAAGGGTCACAGTAATGCCAGGCGTTGGTGGCTCATTCCTTTAATCCCAGCACTTGGGAGGCAGAAACAGATGGATCTCTGTGAGTTTGAGGCCAGCCTGGGCTACAGAGCCAGTTCCAGGACAGGCTCCAAAGCTACAGAGAAACCTTGTCTCAAAAAGTGGGGGAGGTGTCATAGTATTAGGAGGGTTGAGAACCACTGTTGTAAGGTTTAAATCCCTAGCCCAAACCACTGACCCCAGAACTTACCTCTTACCCTCAGCCTCGATTTGACCATGAGCTATCACTTCCTAGACTAGCTCAATGGAGGTGGTAGCACATGCCTGTAATCCCAGCACTCGGGAGGCAGAGGCAGGTGGATCTCTGTGAGTTCGAGGCCAGCCTGGTCTACAGAGTGAGTTCTAGGACAGCCAGGACTGTTACACAGAGAGACCTTTTCTGGAAAACAAACAAACAAAACAAACCAAACAAACAAACCTAGCTCAACCATTGCTCTCTAGACATGACCACTAAAGCAAACATACCATAATCCCAGGATCTAAGCGTTGACCCTTGACCCAAAGGCATGACTTTTGAACTCTCGGAGATCTACCCTAGTCATACAGCCCCAGCTGTTGCTCCTTGATCTTGACCTCCCATCCTGACAGTTAATATCTCATCTTCTCTTTTAGGAGTGACCATGGACCCAGTGAGTACAGGAGGCCAGGTGGAGGGGGTGGGGAGCCAGAGGAAGCAGGGAGGGCTTATATCGCTGTCAACCACAGCCAGTGAGTGAGGAGCGCTCAGTACAGCAGAGTCACCCCATTGCCACCACCTCACCTGCCCGGCCTTACCCAGGTGAGCTCCGCACTGCAAGTGAAGGCAGTTCTGGGGGGGGGGGGCTCCGGTGAGCACGGAGTAGTGGAGCTTGGGTGTGGCCTGCAGGGGGTAGGAGGCTCAGTCACCAGCCTTGCTCTCTGAAAAGCCCCTCCTTCTGCTTGCAGAGCTGATCTCTCGCCCCTCCCCGCCCACCTTGCACCGGTTCCTGCCAGACTTGCCCCCGTCCAGAAGTGCGGTGGAGATCGCCCCGACTCAGGTCACAGGTAAGGCCTGCCAGCTGGGCCACGTTCTGGATAGGCTTCACATCAGCTTGGGCTCCCTCCTTCCGTCACTTCCTAGGCTAACGGGTTAGCACTTGCCCTGACCTGGGAGCTGGGAAATTCCAGGGGGCCTGCTAGTATGATGCTCAGCTCAATCCGAGAGTATTCACCATTCAGCTCCTATGTATTGAGCACCTACTACGTGCCTCCCAAATAAACCGCAAGCAAAGCAAATGATGGAGCCAGGTGTGGTGGCTCACTCCTGCAATCCTAATACTCGGGAGGTGAAGGCAGAATTGCCTAAAGTCCAAGGTCAATCTGGACTGGACGATCGTGTGAGACCTCCAAAGCAGATCAATAACTAAAGTCCAGCATCTCTCATAAATGCTATGAAAAGATAAGTGAGAGAAGACTGGAAGTCTGAAGGTTGTGACTTTAGGTAGCAATAAGAGGTTGGGGTGTGTGAATGTGTGTGTGTGTGAATGTGTAACATTTTAAAGATTGCTAGACATTCAAGAGAAGTGGAGAGGGACATGCAGATTCAGAAAAAGAACAATCCAGCCAGGAGGTGGTGGCACACACCTTTAATCCCAGCGCTCAGGATGCAGAGACAGAGACAAAGATCTCTGTGAGTTTGAAGCCAGCCCGGTCTACAGAGTGAGTTCCAGGACAGCCAGGGTTGTTACACTGAAAAACCCTGTCTCAATAAACAGAGAGAGAGAGAGAGAGAGAGAGAGAGAGAGAGAGAGAGAGAGAGAGAGAGAGAGAACATTCCAGAGAAGTTAAGTCTGGGCAAAGGTGTAGAAAAGTATGAATCATTGGTGGAGGAGGGAGAAACCACAGAGAACCAGGGGAAGGCCAGTTCATGGAGCCACCATAACAAACAGGCTTGGGTCTGATGCCAGAGGCTGGGAGAAGTTTCTGCAAGGACTTGAGCATTATAATAATTGCCAGCACAGACTGAGCAGTCTCTGCCAGGCTCTACGTGAAGAGCTTCACAAACTGAACACCATTTCACTTTCTCGTATTCTGAAGGGAACAAATGCTTGCCTCATTTCCAGATGAGAAAGAGCTGTGGCTCAGAGAGGTTTAACCATGTGTCCCGGGTCACAGTGGAGCCATATCAAGCTGTGACATATGGACTCCAAAGCCACAGTCATTAAACTTGACTGAAACCCTGAGTTAAGATGAGCTCCTGAGATGAGGGCTGGGGTGGAAGGTGACTGCACCCTGGGGATTGTGAGGATGTGGAGGACAGGTACCTGGGAGGAGAGCAAGGAAGCCTGTGGAGAGGTACTCCAGGCCGAGAGCAGCCTGCAAATGGCCGCTGGTCAGGTCTGGTTTAGGCGGAACAGCTCTCACCCTCACCCTGGGCTTCCTGGGAAAGGCCGGGTCCAAGGGGGAGAGGAGGAGATGGAGCTTAGGAACAAGAGGGTGATAAGGGTCCTCCGTCTGATCATCTGGACAGAGCTCTGGCACGAGCTGGGCTCCTCTACCAGGTCCTTGGAACACGGGGAGCTGAAGTCACTGCCTAGAAGACATTAATAAGCCTGAGACTACAAGGTTTAAACTGCCGGGGTGACTGGGAGGATGCTGTCTCAGAGACCCTTGGGGAAAGAGTATTAAGGACGTAGGGCACTTAGCCGGTGTGGTTTGATTTGAGGTGACGTGGGTCAGGCTCTTGGAATGTTAGGGACAGAAGTAACAGAGGTGACAGGGATGGCAAGGACACGGGGGTCCTATCTGGAGACTTTCTGCAACAAGGAAGGGCACTGGGATTATTTGAGATGAAGTTCAGGAGCTCCTAGGATTCAAATACCCATGTGCAGAAGCTGGAGGTCCCTCTGTGACCAAGCTTTCCTGAGCAGTGGGGCTGGGGTGTCAAGCATCTACCCCTGCAGTGTGGCAAAAAGCAGGTATTCCCTAATCAGCCCATTGACCCGATCCACCCATGCCGCAGAGACGGATGAATGCCGATTGAACCAGAACATCTGTGGCCACGGACAGTGTGTGCCTGGCCCTTCCGACTACTCCTGCTACTGCAACCCGGGCTACCGGTCACATCCGCAGCACCGCTACTGCGTTGGTAAGCGGGACTGTGGGAGGCGGAGTGGGGCGGGTGGCCCAGGGGATAGCCGGGGCTCTCAACCTGCCTCTGATGTCTCCTCCTGGCCTGCCGGTCCTTTCAGATGTGAATGAGTGCGAGTCGGAGCCGTGTGGCCCCGGGAAAGGCATCTGCATGAACACTGGGGGCTCCTATAATTGTCACTGCAACCGAGGCTACCGCCTCCACGTGGGCGCAGGGGGACGCTCGTGCGTGGGTGAGCACCGACGACCCCGGGCTACCCTGGGGATACTGGGTGGGGCCGGCTCCCACCACCCGCCCCTTGCCCATTGCACGCCCTGTCTTCGCTCAGACCTGAACGAGTGCGCCAAGCCTCACCTGTGCGGCGACGGTGGCTTCTGCATCAATTTCCCGGGTCACTATAAATGCAACTGCTATCCCGGCTACCGGCTCAAAGCCTCCCGACCGCCCGTGTGTGAAGGTGGGGTACCCGTCCAGATGAAAGCGGGCTTTGTAACTGTCCCTCGACCTAGGATGGGGCCGGCAGGCCTGCACCCATCTATGGTCCTCTCAGGCGGGAGTCAGGAAATCCCAAACCGGTCCATTTTGCCTTGATTTGTGACAGAGGGAGGCCCTGTCATATTGAGCACCGGACCAGCCATGTTGTCCCCAGACCTGTCCTCTTCCTTTTCCCTTCCGTGCAGACATCGACGAGTGTCGCGACCCTAGCACCTGCCCCGATGGCAAATGTGAAAACAAACCTGGCAGCTTTAAGTGCATCGCCTGCCAGCCCGGCTATCGCAGCCAGGGGGGCGGGGCCTGTCGTGGTGAGGGCGGTTCAGACTCCACGCGGGGGGCGGGCCTCCTGGGAGTAGAGCCCCTCCCCTAGCCCTGGAGAGGGGAGCCTCACCCTTAGCAGCTTGCAAATTGGTGTAGGGCACTGGGTGACGCTAGTGTTCCTCCCTGCAGACATCAACGAGTGCTCCGAGGGCAGCCCCTGCTCTCCCGGATGGTGCGAGAACCTTCCTGGTTCCTTCCGTTGCACGTGCGCCCAGGGATACGAGCCCGCGCCGGACGGCCGGAGTTGCGTGGGTGAGCTCCAGCATGCTCCGCAGACAATGGCTGATGTCCTCAGCCAAGCAGCTGGGATTTGGAGAGTGGATTTTTTTTTAATGTAGATGATGTTTTACTTGTTGCATGTATGTGCACCACGTACATACCTGGTGCCCTCGGAAGCCAAAAGGGGGGGACCAGACCTTCTGGTACTCAAATTATTGGCCTCCGTGAGCTGCCAAGTGGGTGCTGGAAATCCAACCCCAGCCCTGTGTATGAGCAACAAATGCCCTTAACTATTTGAGCCATCTCTTATCTCTTAAGAGATGAGGATTGAAACTTTTGCTTGCAAATCTTGTTAATGTGAAGGAAAAAAAGGTGTCAGACTGAGGGATTATTAGTCCTCTTCCCTGTGGTAATGTTCATTATGGACCAGAAAAGCAGGCTGGAGGCAGGAATTCAGAGAAACTGGGAAACTTGACAGGCTTGTCTACTGCAGGGCCAGGAGCTGAAGGAAGGCGGCCTGAGTCTCTCTAAAGGACCGCAGGAATTAGCTAAGCAAAGGACAAGAGAACAGCATGCTTGGTGGTCAGATGAAATGAGATTGGTGGCCTGGAGCGGCCATGGGATGCTGTGATATTAGAACAACTTTGGCTAGGGTAGTCAAGGTCAAGGAGACAGAGGAGTGATGGCCCCTCCCAGAGTCTGCTTTGGTGACTCCATGGGGGATGCTGTTCACTGGGATAGGCCCTTGAGAGGGAAGGTGCTGAGCCTATCCATGGTAGATAAGCTGGGTCGAGAGGTCTGTTTGGGTGTCGCAGCCAGAGATGCTGAACTGAGAAGTGGAGCAATGTGGGTTGGCAGTCTTGTCCATATGGAACTCTCAGTTGTGGACTACGGGGCTATGGGAAGTGGAGGTGAGCCTGCGTACCCAACGAGGCAGCATTAGGTGAGAGGGCATCTAACAGAGCCTCATGGACACCGAGACTAGGGGAGGCAGGGGCAGATGAAAGGGCATCAGGGGATGGGAGCAAAGGAATTGTAGGCTAGTGAAAGGTGGCCGGGCTTGCAGAGCACCATCTGAGAAGCTGGGGCCCTAAGCAGTATGAGACGAGAGGACACCTCACGTCTGTGAGTGTGGAAGAAGGTTGGGAAGACATGAGCTCCTTAGCATCAAACATGGCTGAAGAATCCTGGGAGCACTTGGCTCCGACATCATGCATGGTTTGTGTGTGGGAGCGGGGTGAGGGCCCCCGAGGCTCAGCTCTAGTGCTCCAGACAAATGGGCAGCAGAGGGAAAACAGAAGCCGGAAACCACCTCCAGGCCGGGCCCCTGACACTCCTCTGTGCCCTGCAGACAAAGATGAGTGTGAGGCTGGGAATGTGTGCGACAATGGCGTCTGTACGAACACTCCAGGCTCCTTCCAGTGCCAGTGCCTCTCTGGCTATCATCTGTCCAGGGACCGGAGCCATTGTGAGGGTGAGGGGTCCTAGAGCCTGGGCGCTGGCCTGTTCCTACCTACCCCAGGATCTCCACTGCCCAGGTCCAGTCCCCATCCAGATCCCAGTGGTGGTTTGGGGGTGTGGGAGTGACCCAGGGCTCTCAGAGTAGGGAACTCTGATAGCTCCAGGCTGTGTATATGGGGTCAACCCCCCTGAGAGTCTCCAAACCCTGGTCTCCACAGACATTGATGAATGTGACTTCCCTGCGGCCTGCATTGGGGGTGACTGCATCAATACCAATGGTTCCTACAGATGTCTTTGTCCCCAGGGACATCGTCTGGTGGGCGGCAGGAAGTGCCAAGGTATGCGGAGTTGGCCGAGAGCTCACAAAGGGGTGTCGGGCAGTGTGATCTGACATGGTGTAGCCTTTCTGTAGTCTTTCCATTCGTCCATCTGTCCATCCATCAATCTATCTAGCTCTTGTTTGTTCGGTAACAAGGATCCTGCCTCTGAGTGTTGCCTACTACATTCCAGTTTCTGTCAGCTTTTTGTTTGTTTGTTTGTTTATTTTTGAGATTTCATTTACTCTTGTTTTATGTGTATATGTGTTTGCCTGAACTATGTCTGGGCACCACATGCATACAGTGTTCACGGAGGCCAGAAGAGGGCGTTGGAGCTGCAGGTGGTTGAGTGGACAGTGGGTGCCGGGTCATGTGGAAGAGCGGCCAGTGCCCTTAGGGCGGAGCTATCTCCATTCCCTCTGCTCAGCTCTTTACAGATGGAGTAGTCCGACCCATCAACTCTTCTGTATGTAGTAGGTCACCACCAAGTGATGCCTACAGACCCTGTTTGCCAAGTGCTGTACTAGATATCTCAGCAATAACCTGGGGCTCCTCAGTTGGAGGGGAGCGTGGAAATGAGTCTCAGGTTCAGGGGAAAGGTGCCGGGAAGTTACTTAAAGGGAGATGGCTATGGAGCTGGGACTTGAAGCTAAGGGGGTCTCTCAGCAGGGGCTGTGGGTGGGAAGGGGTCTCTCAGCAGGGGCTGTGGGTGGGAAGGGGTCTCTCAGCAGGGGCTGTGGGTGGGAAGG